GATAGATAGATAGATAGATAGATAGATAGATAGATAGATAGATAGATGATATAGATAGAAATAGAAATAATAGAAATAGAAATAATAGAAATAGAAATAATAGAAATAGAAATAATAGAAATGGATGGATGGATAGAGAGATAGAGAGATAGAAATGGATGGATGGATGGATGGATGGATGGATAGATGATAGATAGATAGAGGTAGATATAGAGATAGGTAGATATAGAGATAGATAGATATAGAAATGGATGGATGGATAGATATTTTTATTTGCCACATTGAGATCTCTTTCTTCCCTCTTCCCACAATAGGTTGGAGCGTCTCCAGAAGGAGGAATTACTGAAGAAGGCCCGCAAGCTGCAAAGCGACCAACACAGGGTAGCCTTTCAGGAGGAATTCCTCAAGAAGAAAGAGGAGGAGGTGCTTCAGCTACAGGTAAGGCAGCCCCAAGGCTCCAGTCACTCACCTTCCCTGGAACGTTGTACCTTCTCTCTGTTGTGTACATTGCACATTCTTTTTCAAACCACACGCAACTCACGGCGGTTTCACGGTCGCACCTGTGTACCATCCTTGTGGCTTTTTCCTTGCCCCCCCCCCCCCCCCCGGCCTTTCTCGAGTTCGTTCTTTCCCTCCACTTCCCAAACTAACCTATAATTGTGGGAGTCTCCTTTATTGGTGATGGTGGGATTTCCTCGTGGTCTCCCATCCCTATTGCAAAGCAGTTCCGACCCTGTGTAGCTCTTCAAGATCCACGAGAGACGGGCCTGCGGTGTTCAGTTTGGTTGACCACACCTAATCAAGGGTGGGATTCTACTGGTTCGGACCAGTTTGGGCAAAAACCCTTGCTCTAAAGATCAGCTGGGAGCCAACCGGTTCGCTGCGACGAGCCTATGGGCCCCCCGGATCCATTCCTACTCTTCCCTGTCCTTTATTTATTCCCTTTTTAAAGAGGTTATATTTACGTGAACTCATAAAACATTTTGTATACATGTTTTATAGTTGACACGCAGCTGTTTCGTGTGGCACCTCAGCTGTTTTATTCACAGAGACTGCAGTAGAAGGTTTAAGTATTAGAGCAGTGATGGCTAACCTTTTCAGCTTGGTGTGTCGAAAATCGGGAAAAAGTGTAGCCTTCCTCGGGTCGCGTGTCACTTCAAGAAATATCAATAATTTGGTTTATGACGGACTGGGCTGGGGTGATCACACAGGGCTGTGAAACTCGTCTCCCTGGTCTCAGGGCTGCAGGTGCAGGATGTGGGGATCGGAAGGCCACCTTACAGGGCTGTGAACCTCATGGATCTCCTTTCCTCCTGTAGCGTTCCTGAGGTAATGAAACTGACAAAACCTCAGTTTATGGCGGTTAAAACTGGTTCTCTGCTGCAAAGATCTCGCGGCAGCGGTGACACCACGCCTCCACGCAACAAGCAGGGAGCAGGGATTGGAGCAGAGCACAGGCAGCCTCTAAATGTGCAGGTTTTCCCCACACCAACAGGCATGTCAGTCAAAGTGCCTCGGCGTGTCACGAGTGACACGCGTGTCATAGGTTAGCCATCACTGTATTAGAGCGTTTTCGAGCGGTTGTTATTCCGGTGGAATCCCACCCCTGCACAAAAATGGGGAGATTTCAAGTGGGGGGGGGTGTTGGGCCCTGCAGTGTGACTTAATCTGAGTTTGTTAGCCGCCATTTTGCACATGAGGGCTTCCAATTAGAAAGAGGGTTAGATTGCTTTTACAAAATTTGTGTATTGGATTTGTATTTTCTTTTTCTTTTTGGTAAGCTGCTCAGGGATCAAAGGAGAGCTGTAATTCTGTAACTAAATCCATTTTTATCAGGCCCTCTCTCAATTTCTCATGATGCCAAGCATAATCTTAACAATACAATCTGGTTGTCAACTAAAAAGATACTCTGTTGGTCTTTTTAGCTGCCAGAAAAAGGGAGTGGGGGGAAACAGTGCATTCCTTAAATGCTTCAGATGATTGCTAGGCAGCCGAAACTGTTGGCCCACAAGATTATTACTGGAGAGCCTGATTGATGACTCTTGGCTATGGATGTGTCCCATTGGAGAATATACATCCAGGGGGGTGGAGAGGGAAGACCAGGGTCAAGGGGGAAATGAATGATGTATTTTAGTATCAGCTGCTTCCAGCTAACACCAACATGGCCGCTTCTAATCAATGTTATTATTTCTGAGAGATGCGGCTAGAGACTTACGATTTGAACGGGGGCTGGATTTGTTGGGAATCCTGACCCGGGTGTCATTTAGCTTCAGTCTCATTCTTGTTTCCTCCAGGAAGAATCCCAGCATTTCATCACTCTTGAAAACCTGGACCAGCGGATTGAGGAGTGCCTGAACCAGACGCAGAATTACAATTTTGCCATTGATAAAGACGGGAGGATAGTGAAGAGGACGGCCATGCCGTAGGCCAGAGGAAGGAGCGTTCTCCACCCAGATCCGAGGTTGGCGGTGAGCGATCGAGGGATCGCGCACGGCTCCACCCCGCCAGTATCACTACCCTCAAAAGGCGGGGGGGAAGGGGGAACGGTGGATAATTCGTGCTTTCCAAACTCTGCCAGTCTGGTTTTGTCATTGGCGCCAGCTGTTTTTCAGGAAGAAATGGATCCTCTTCAAAGATTATGTGTGTGTGGAGGGGGGTGGTTATTTTGGCATCTCATCCTCACTTGTCCCTGCATTGAAGAACTCGATTTTTGAGAGAGGGATCCTATTTCCGTATGTGCGCAAAACCAGTTTGTTCCTTTTTCACAGTTTGGTTTCTTTAGACAAAGGAAACGGTGCTTAGGGAAGCTTATTCACTAAGTTCTCTGGACTGCTCTATCATTAAATACCATATTTTATTTTCTGGCTCTGAGCTGTTTATTTGACACACACACACACACACCCAGCGTTGTCTGAGTTCTTGGATGGTTAATTCCTAAGCCTGTCTACCCATCAAACATTCCTGTGCCTGTTTTAGTAGTTGCCATTAAAAAAAAATGGGGGGAGGGAAGGAAATCTGGAAGATCCGTGCAGCAGTTTGGAAGTGGAAGTCCATTCCAACTCTTCTCTTTAAAAGATTGTAACTAAAATACCAGAGTTTTTGCCTGCGAATATATTTAATTGGAGAGTGTGATTGATGACACCCAGCCTGTAATTGGAGAATGTGATTGATGAGACACCCAGGGGGAAAGGGGAGAAACAGAGTCACGGGGGACTGTAAATGATGCATGCCAGAGTTGGCTTCTTACAGGGCAATGCCAGTAGGTCGCTTCTAATGGATCCTTGGAAGTTTTTTTTGAAGTTGGGCTCAAGAATCATGATTCAATTAAAGCGATTGCTGGAATCCTGACAAAGCCAATTTGGTGAGTAATGATAAATATGAGCACATAAACTTGTGGCTGCTACACAACTGGAAACACAGATTTTTCAGCAAAGGTAGTGCTCCACCTACTCATTTAGTGACCATTTCAGACTGTTACAATGGCACCGAGAAAAGTGACTTATGAACGTTTTTTACCCGACCGTTGCAGCAATCCTCGTCACATGATCAAAATTTCAGTTTGTCAACCGACTCACATTTACGACGGTTTTAGCGTCCCGGGGTCACGAGATCCCCTTTTGCGACCTTCTGACAAAGCAAAGTCAACGGGGAAGCCAGATTCACTTAACAACTGTGTTACTAACTTAACAAGTTCAGTGATTCACTTAACAGAGCAGGAAATGTTGCAAAACGATGCAAAATTCACTTATGTGTCTCACTTAGCAACTGAAACTTTGAGCTCATTTGCTGTCGGAAGTCCAGGACTAGGCTGAATTTTTAATTCATTCTGCGAATAAAATCATAATCTTGCTGGAATAAAACTGGCACAGAACATACCAAGGTTAAAAAATGTTCTGCATAAAAGGTGTAGTAAAAGAATAGTCCTTATTCCTCCAAATTCCATGGCCTTTGTAGACCTTCTCCATATCTGTGCATTGACTGGAAAAACATCTTTGGGGCTCATAAGTTTAGAAGACCAGAACGGAAACTGTAAATGCTTAGGGCAAACACATGTCCATCAGCTGACAAAAATAAAATAAAAAATAAAATAAAAATAAGAATAAATGAAACATATACCTAGTAATTAAAAATAATAAACAACTTAAAAGAAAAACCAAGTAAAAAAGCAGACTTGATGGATTTTGTCATGCCCCTGTTGGAGTCTGACTCCGAGGGAGAGGAGGAACAGCCAACAGGGAGTGGAGGTGTGGCTCCAGAGGTTGTGGAGGAAACTGGGGAAGGGCAGAGGCTGGCTGTGCAGTCAGAGGAAGACCCAGGCCCACCCCCTCTTCATCCCCTCTTCATTCAGGGAGGAGCGGATAAGGGAGAAACGTGAATGGCGTGGTCTACGGGGGAGGAAAGGGCCCTGATCCCCTTCATGGGCTGCAGCTGGGAGGACTGTTTAAAAGGACAAACTGCGCATGGCCCAGTGCTGCAAGCAAAGTGTGAAATAATTCTACTTTTTCAGTTCTTATCTGAGTTCTGGCGTCCTTCCCAGTGTGTGTATTTCGATATCTGTGGACGTCTTCGAGCCCTTATCCTGCCGTGTCTCATGAATTGCTTCAGGTTTGTGTTATTTTTTCTATGTATAATTTATATGTATTTTGAGTTTGAATGGCATTTCTTCCTTTTCACAACTGTTTGTGGGGGAGTTTTTTCTCCAGTCAATGATATTTGGAGCTCCAAAGCCAAGTTGAAGGAATTAAAGGGGCTTCCCCTGTTTTTGTGACTTTGCTGCCTTTTGTATCCCCACCCTGGGCCATCACAGATTTGTAAGGTCTTTTTCTGCCGTCCGTTTTCAGTGTTTCTGGGTTTATACCATAGAA